ATCGAGATCGTGCATAGTGGATGACTGCTCGTTTAGAGCGAGGAAAGTGCTGGAGGTACGGTGGCTGTGCCAGAAGTCTGTACGTGCACTCGAAGACGGCTTTCGGATTTAATGATAGCGACGTCCATGAAGCAACTATGCTCGATTGGCAAATTGCAACTCCTCTATAGCGCGGGCGGCGCTCGAAAACCAGGTTTCACATTCACCAAAGCCAACCCCTTCGCTACTGCCAACCGCATTGTGCCATCCAACAGAAAAGTTGTCCAACATGGCATCGAGCAAACGTCGTGTGCTTGGGGCACTGGGTCTTGCCACGTTGCCGAGTGTAAACGACACTTGTGCAAGTCGACTCGTCTTGCGTTTGTAATGTGCCATCGAGGGAGTCGCACCCACTGTGGCCCACTCGAACAATGTGTGCATCCTCTAGCTTGTTGTCCACGCCAACCATACTCCTACTGCTCAAGGATCTCGTGGTCCCGAACAGGCATATTGAGAGGCAGTGCCCATACCTTCGATTGGATGCACTTCGCTAGCGCAGCTGTGGCCCTTGCTGCATCCTTCACGGGGGAATGCGCCTTTCTTCATCTACATTGCATCCACTTCCTCCGCTTCGTATGCTGACGGGCGAATGTGTTGCGGGGAAGGGCCTTACCAGTAGTCGACGCGATGCCATCGGCGCAAGACCAGTCACCTCGACGGCTGTCGCCTTTGCTGTCATGGCGCACGCCTGGCCACCGCAGTTTTCCGTGGTCACGAACACTGTGGCTTCGGTGCTTTTCTCCTTTGAGCAGTTGCGTCCATTGCGTTTTATAGCCGCGGCGATGGCACCTCGTCAACTTGTCGGATTTATAACCAGACACTTGAATCAGTCATGCACCAAACACAAGGATGGATGGTTGGATTAACGTTCGCCTTGCGCTTGCAATCGAAAATGGTGGGGGCACTTGTTGTCTTGGCGCTCGATGCCTGGTCGATTGCACCCCTCTTCGACGCATCGCTTGCCTTCAACGACAACATCCACACACAGTCAGAGACAGCAAAGTTGGAGAGGTTACCTCCGCCATGCGCCCAACAATGGCCATATCGAAGGGCTGTTTTGGTGCAGGCTGGCGTCTGGCAGGGCTTCCCGCCGCCGTGGCTCCAGCACAATCCACGAGCCTTCGTTCGGTTCACGCAGCCTTCTACCGTGCACGATCGCCACCCACCATGCGTCCAACACAGACCGTCGTGCTTGGCCCCGTTGGGACATGCTGCGACCTTACACCGCACGCCACCCTGCATAGCCCTCGTTGAGTTCGATCCAATGGATTGCATGCGCTGTACCCCATGGGAGATGCACCGCTTTCGGCTGGCAATGACGTGGTCGCAACCGTGGACTTCGCAATAGCGTAGCCTCGGGGGCGTCGGCGGCATGAGTGGACGGTTGTCGCAGCACAGGTCGACGATGGAAAGGTATTGGCGGAACCGGGGGCGATCTGTGCAGTGCATGATGAAATCAATCGAGAGCTTTGGGTTTCGCAGGTGTTCAACCAGCACAGCTGCACTCATGGCCACCAGTTGAATTTGCAAAGTGACTGAGTTGCTGCAGACGCCTTGGTTCGTGGCTACTGCATGCGCACGCAATACGTTCACAGAAGCGTTGAGGTGGAGACTCGGTCGATGCGGCCCAATCATCCCCTCCTCGCTCGCCTCTGTCCACTGGTCCATACAGTATCGTTGGTTCCATCACGATGGGACCGACTTAGCCATCTTCGCGAGCGTTCATCGCACAAGATTGCATTCATTTTCGAACGGAGATCGTGGCGGCGGCTGTCCTCCGTACACCAGGCATCGCACGTGGCTATGGAAAGTGTCGCACTGCTTCGTGGAATGTAAGGATGAATTTCGCCTCCCGTCATGTCAATGAGAGTAACTATGTGCCCGCGGTCTGTGCGGGAAAGCTACCACTCTTTGGTTTCGAGACTTAGATTTCGAACCTTGCGTGGTGTCAAATTCATCTCCGATATCGGTTCATCCTTGTAGGTCCTGCACGAAGGCGCGACGTCCTGGGGCAAGCTGCCAACACGACCCGCTCGCAACGTCGCTCCTGCCAATACTCCTTTTTATTCGTTCGCGGCATGCCCCTCGTTTTGGAGCCCCTCCAAGTGTGACGTGATGGGGGGGGGTGGCCGGCTTCTCCGTAACTTGTTACGTGGCCCCATTTCGGATGCATGTGAACCAATGAGTCTTTCATGGGCAACGTAGGAGCTTACGTCAATCGCAATCAAAACAGACTGCCTCCGGCCTGCCAGTTCCACCGTGGTGAGGTAAACACGGATCGGTATGACTTTCACTCCCTTGTGACACCGATGCAACCCCGTGACGGAGGTACATCATCCTAGAAAACAGGTTATGAGGGGGGAAGGGGGGCAGTGCTGGTCTGAGCATTGCGGACTTCTCTCCCTCGAAGCGTTGCATGTCGGCTCGATTTACGAGCTCGATAAATGGGTGGTGGTGTGCACGCGTGTACGCAGTTGTGGACATGCTTTTTTGTCGATGGGACGCAATCGACCAGCTGAACGAGCCGTTAGGAGAGCCCAAACGTTGGGGGGTGGAGTAACGCATCGACGTTTGCGCTGCGCACAACCCCCTTTGGTATGTAGTTGGACGGGATTGGCGTCAAAATCCAAGGCCCGTTCGCTGCCGAGAATCTCGCAATACACTTTACAATGATGTCGACTAGATTTCCCGTGGCTGGGGGGGTTGATTGCCTACCAAGAGGTTGTCGTTCTCTTGAAACCCAGACGACTCGGCGACGAGGATCCACCCCAGCAGGAAATGCCACCAAGACCGTCCACATGACCAACCCGAGATGTTCTGTTGGGGCCCCCACATCTTATCTGAGGCAATCTGCTTGGAGCTGCGCCGCCCCAGCAACTTTCCCGGTCGATGGACAAGTTGCGATTCCAACGGTTGGGATGTAGACGTCGCTCCTGCGACGTTTTCCGACCGCACCGCGGCGAGATCGCAGTGGAAGACATCCAAAAGAGAAGTCTACCCCTCTCTGTACATTCGTTGGATAAAGAAATGGCGCCACGTCGACCTCGTTAGGAATTCCAACCTTACAACAACGGCATCACAAAACACCTCGGCTAGCCGTTCCTGCCCGCGCAGGTCGACGGAAGCTGCATCCATAGAAGAGCGAGTGATGGCTGGAGCAACTTGGCGAGTCCTTAAATGGTTGGTTTGATGCAGAGGACAGGCCAAACCGGACACACACGACACGGAATGCAAATCTGGCTGGACCACGTCGGTTCGAATTCGAATGCCGGGGTCAAAGGTCAGACACTCTGGTGGTTTACTGGATCGTGGCGTCAGTACCGAACAGCGCCGCATTGTTTTGGAATGGGCGATTCGATCGAGCTCGACATCGTGACGACCACTTCGCGGAAACACTCGCTTGCCGTAGCGCATACAGTAGAGGAGCAGAATCGAGACGTTATCGAGTCATACACTGTCTCCATTTGCAATACAGTACTGGCGGCCGTCCTCCCGCAGCGAAACAGTGCTAGATGGGGGTGATTTGCTTCCGGCAAACCGACCGAACACAGTTGGAATTTGGACCGCGACCGACGACACACCCACCGCCACGCCAGGGCATCGCGCGGGGGGGGGGGCTACAGTAGGGGCCTCGAACGATAGCATTATGTGTGGGCGGGTGCGTGGTTGGGAGATTGTCGAAATCACTTCACACACGGGGTCCCCCCCAAATCCTTTTGTCAGCCGCGTGTGAATGGTAGCTCGCCGGATACGTTCGGCTGACGAGGAGCCCAGTACCAACAGTACTTACATTTATTTCGGCTATCGCGCCTGCGGAACAGCATGGCCGACGGCGCGTGGATAAATCGTTGACATCCGCGCCTCGATTTGAATTGCACTTGGCTGCACTCTGAAGTTCCGACGAGGCCAGTGGAGAGACAAGGTGGACGGGTGAGTCGTCGCGTTCCATTCAATTTGCAGCGCCTGGCGTGGAAAGGCCTCGGTAGCCTGTCCAACGTTGCAAAAGCCCCCAGTGCAGCTCGACTCGCACCGCTAAGCTCTGCGATCGCCGCTCTGGCTGCCTCTGACCTGAACGACCACGTCGAGAGAATTCAAGATTGGTCGAAATATCACGGAATTTGGAGGTCCAGGAATCGGAATATTTCGACGCCCACTGAATTTATGAATACGAACGACGACGTGGGAGGACACTTGCCACGATGGATGCAACTCCTGCTCGTCCAGGTGATCGCTCTGGATGGTTGTAACTAGACCACCGTGGATGACGTGTCAGGAATACTCAACGTTTGTCTTCCCCAACAGTATGGAAAGGCAGCAACAGCGCGATCGGAAACAGGTGCTGCAATTTGATCAAATCCTCGATTGCAAGCAACGTATGCAAGGGTGCAAATTCCGTTACGGGGAGGCCTATCTCTCCGCTCGTTTGGCTCCAGCTGCCGGCCCCAGCTAGGCAGCACATGATGCGGTTTCGTTGTGGCAGCCGGTGGATGAGATATGTGGTCGGCAGCACTCTGGTACATGTGGCCACTGCAAAATTTGTTGTTGTCCGCGCTGGACGATATGCCAGTCCGTCCTTTGGGTTCATGTGGCATGACAACAAAGTTCAGAATATCTCGAGTTTGGCTGAATATCACGATATTTGGGGCAAAGTCGCAATAATGGACAGTAATATCCTGAGAAAATGTCGCCATCATATTATGTAAATTGTCTGACATGTCGAGGGTGGAATCTGGCCGCGAGGTCGAAACATATCTAATCAGACCGACGCCGGTGGCGGGGTGCCGCTGGACAAGGCACCCGTTGTCGCGGCAGGATGTCGCCCCATGGATGCCCTTCACATGTTTAGGAAGAGCCACATCCTCCACATGTTTACCCACAAAAGGCACCCGCAGACCTGTGCGCCTCAGTTCACTGGCTGAATCGACGAGTGCTGCGGAGATGTGCCCTCATCACAGTGCCTCGTCGAAAACCTCCACCATCCCCCCCCGGTCGAAAGTCTTGTCTCGATGGCATAAACGATAACATCATGATTATGGGAGAATATGCACAACGTCGACGACGAAGGCCACTTGAGGGGCGCCGGGATGGACTTCGTCGGTCGTTCATTTTGCAATTCGCCATGGCGAGGACAAGAAAGGCTGAGAGCTTCACTGCGGACTCCAAGTCGTCGATCCAGTATATCCTCAACCCTGCGTCCACTTGCTTATCACTGCTATCGACGGACGAGTGCTTGGGCAATCGCAAGGCGCGCGACAGTGCCAAGCGCCGCCAGTGCGAAGTCGGCGGCTGCACACATTTCATCGCGAGCCGGCATCGATGTATTCGGCACGGTGTGCGTATATCGATCGTTCATCTTCGAGCATTGCCGCCTCATGCGTCGTTGGCTACCCAGGGAGGAGTGCGATGCAGCCATTCCAATTGCTCAAGCGGCGCGAAACAGAACGGGCTGTGCTGGACTCACGGTGCGTTGGCTCTGACGAAAGGGGTTTGTGACATTGTTGGTTTGTGAATTGATCAGGAGGATGGAAAACGTGCACTGTGGAGGGCTGCAGCAATCGAACGAAGGCACGGGGCTTGTGCTGGAGCCACGGAGGCGGAAAGAAGTGCCAGTCGCATGGATGTTCCAAGACCGCCCTTCGATATGGATGGTGCTGGGCCCATGGCGGAGGTACGTTGACCGTGCAGTGAACAACGCGCACATGGTAATCGTGTGTACTAGGCAAGCGCTGCCAACAAACGGGATGCCATCGGCCTGGCTACGAGCGGCTTGGACACTTCTGCCGGGCACATTGCAGTGTATAAACGATGTCATTCAATGTTGAGCCATGTCAGTCGTGTACGAGCGATCGTCACATCATTCATTGGTCAATCTTTCATGCGGGGCGACATCACGATGGTACTCCATTTTATGGGGATGACCTCTGGAGGTCACCATTGATATCACTGTCCACTTCATCATAACGATGCATGAATGGTGTCGTCGAGTTGGAGGAATCTCATAATGTTTTGGAAGAATGTTTGGGGGGATTCGGCATGCGTCGCGGGCCACAGCCACGGCAGCTGCCTCTTTCATCTCTGAATGGTTCTGGTCCCCCACCCCATGAATCATCGAGGCAGGACAGGGGCATGTTTCGGTGACTGATGCTCGGTCCGATCGGCTGGCCTTCTTGCAAGTCAAAACGACCAAGGAGTGGATCCTTCGCTGACCAATGACTCGTTCACCACGTTGTCATTCGAATATTGTATTCGAGTACAACCAAGCCATAAGCGAATCCGCGAATCCACGACAATCCCTACGATGCAGTCGCTCGATCCCACGTGCAGCTGCACTGTCCATGTAAGGCAATGCAAGTGTGCGTGCAAGCAAGAGTCACTGCCATCTTTCACAGCGTTGAGAGGGGGCAAGTCGCCCTACTTGCGCCGTGACGACCGCCACCCGCGTGCATCGAAACCAGGAGGTTCTCCCGGCTGAATCTCTGTCCTTTAGCATCCAGAATATCATCTCACACCCCCAAGAGCAACACACACAAACAGATGCGCATGAATGCCTTCATAGGAATGCTAAACCATGCCACGAACTCGATGGAACCTTCACATATGTGCCGTTCGCGTGCCTCAACCCCCCCCCCGCCCCAACTGCCCCGTCATGGAAAGCTACTTGCCCTATTGCAACCAAGACGTCAGGCACTAGTGGATTGCGCTCCCTGCGGCACTGTCCCCTCCGTGATCTCGGCCGTGTGCACGACAGACGCAATGTTGACGGGATTGCGATCAGACTGTTCACAATGATCGGGATTCCATGACAAAGGCCAGGAACCCTGCGTAATGCCAATTACCGCTGGCCCTGCTGCGGACTTCACGAACGAGACCAACTGTAGTAAACTCGTGGAGGCTTCGCGTTACACTAGTTGATAAACTTCGTAGTAGAGCAGCAGGACAAATAACAATATCCGAGCAGTGGCATGCCTCAAGTCGTGGTCCTCGAACACGCCACCTCGACTGGTTTATCAACACGGTCGAAGGTTGCTATGTCGAAACAGTGTTGGAGAATGGGAGAATGCAGTCGCGGCGGCAGTGGCATCGGAAGAAAAGGAAAGGGGGTACATTTGTCCAGTGTCTGCGTCAAACGTGAACAGTCGCCGTTGTTTCTCGGCCACAAACACCACGTTCGACAGCTCGGAGTTGTCCTTGGCACGTAGAGGTTTCTTGGACTGGAGGCGCGATGTGGACAGGAAAACTTCCTTCCATTCTCCGTCGTGTTCGCTCAAGTGGTACAGACGACCATCCATCGTAGGGGCAAAATTGTGTTGGTCGAAAGCTTTCTCTGGCGCCTGCAAAGTGATGGATGTCGCCACGTTGTTCTTGTGCCCATCAAGTTTCGTGTCCCATGTGGGGGCGACGGAAGGATATATTGCCGCGGCTACACTTCAGCCTCGCATTGTCGTCTAGGAACGATGTGCTGCTACGGAGACACCCTCTCCGCAAGCAACGAACTCGGGGCTGCAGCAGAGTTACAAGAGAATAGTTTTGAGGAATCGATCACCTTGGAAGGCTGATTGTGACGCCACCAACTCCCGCGAAAAAGGCATGACATTGGCAAGGTAGGATGAGCTACTTTCGTACGCGTTCACGGTCATTTGTGCCAGTACGTCCGATGGGAGGAACGACATCTTCCAGAGGATTCTCATTGAGGAATGATGGCAGAGAGACAACCTAATGTTGCTGGAGGGTGCAAGGTTCGGACGTTCATAGCTGGTTAGATTCTGTTGAGGCGAGGAGCCAGCTATAAATTCCGCAAGGGCTTCCCCTGAACTGGGGATCGACGCGTGCGCTAGTCCTTACAGATGAGTGAGTGACCTCTCAGCAGCCCGTCGTTCGTTGCATGTACCAACGCCATCTCACGGGATTGCGGAAGACATTTGCCTGCGGGGCGATGGGGAATTTGGCACCGAAGGTGAACTCGTTGTCACCACTTCGAATTCAAAGCTTGAAGTTCCCTGAAGCGGGAACAGACACGCCGAGTACACCCCCTCTCAGACGCCTTCAGCCGGGGTATTGTGGGTCGCAGGGGCGACGTTGGCAGGATTGGCAGGATTCCGTTCAATGCACGGTCTCGTCGTGCGTGTCACGTGGGATGTTGCGATTGCTTCGATCAGCGGCTTTGTAGCAAACGCAGTAGTAAATGTCGTCGCCGGAGACTGGAAAACTGTCCCTGAACTTCATCCTCAACTCCGACAAGGAATCATGCCCACGGCTGGAGCAGTGAAAACCGCTACCCGCGTCCATCCCCCAGGGGGCACCGACATCCTGCAATGCGGCAATTTTTGTTGCGACAGCCTCAACACAATCAGTGAAGGGGAACAAGTGGATTGACCGCCCGCCGGTTTTGAGAGTGGCGTGGCAGGTTACAGAGAACCCCGGATAAAGCCGACACCCCCAAAAAAGCCGACCACCTCCAAAACATTATCTGTTTAAAAATTTCTACACCCTGTATACTTCAATTCTGTATCATGTCAGAAATACCATGTTTTTTTACCAATTGCAAGCGTAGATACATTGACAACTGTGATTGACTGACTGAAATTCTCCTAGTTATAGCCAATCAAGTTGGATTAATTCACATAGTTTTTTAATGAATTGATCTTATTGTGCGTCCATACATACAGCCAATTCAGAATGAAATGGCTTTTTCCGGGGTTCACTGCAATAGCGCTGACTAGGGGAACATAGCAGCACTGGCAACGATGGCAGGGTGCCAGGGTACCTGGGTACCTATATATACGATTTTGAATACAGTAGTCTCCCGGAATAGGGAACCCACCAAAACTCTATATCTTCGCAAAAAATGTACATTAGTGAAGGAATGCAAAATAAATTCCAAGAGGTATTTTCGAATTTTAAACG